GGGGGGGGGGGGATGACTACCCAAAACGTAATCCCCACAGCTGAACCCCGGCAGAGCCCGGGGACAACCTGGCCGTCTCCCCAGAGAAAAATGGAAATTTGGACGTTAACAGGCGCTCAGCACCCTGGGAAGGAAGCAAGAGCAGCTCCTGTCGGTCTCCAAGCATCTTTTGGAGCTATTTGGGTTTTGTCCCACAGGGAGGGAAGTCAGGAGGAGCAGAACCGGTCAGCTAAGCCAACAGGACCCCATAAAGGCCCCTCAGCTCCTCCAACAAAGGAGTCCCTTCTCCAGGTGGCAGAGGTCTTCCTTTCCATCTTGGGGGGGGTCGGGGGGAGGTTGCACGGCTGAGGAGGGGAAGAGGAGAGGCCGTTCTCCTTCCTCCCTGGAGGCCGAAGGGCGAGAGGAAAAGGCACAGGTGGGATGGAAAGAAGGGACGGAGCCGAGAGCGCGTCTTCAGAGGAGCTGCTTACCCAAAGGGAGGGGTCCTCGATCTCCGGGCGGGCCGGGGGGGGGAGGCTCTCCAACCGCGGCCGCTTTCCAGACTTGTGGGCTTGGCTGGGGAATTCTGGGAGCGGGAGTCTGTGCGTCTGAAAGCGGCCAGCCTCCTCCTGGTCTCTGACCCAACAAGGCCATCTCCCTGTCCCACGCCAAAGTGGGGGGGGGGGGGGGTCAGAGCAGCAGCCGTGGCTCACCCTCGTCTCGTGCCCCACCTTGGTGGAGCTTCACGCGAGACCCCCACCTCCACCTCTCCTTTCATTGGACCGCCCTGCTTTAATGCCGTTGCTACAGACGGCGGAGCAGCTGGGTGGAAATTAAAAAAAAAGAAAAAGACACCCCACCCCGATGGGGAGGCCGAGCCCCCTCCCCCTCCCCAGGAGCCAAGGCCTCCCTTTCCGCCCCCCCTTCCCTTGCAGAGAGACAGGAATGGGGGCCAAGAAGAAGCTTCTTTTAATAGGAAAGGGGATGATGAATCGAGGAGGGGCCTGCGTTGTGTGGGGTGACGGTGGGCAAATGAATCGATGGCAACGACACCGGAACGACAGAAAAGTCGGACAAGCACAAGAGGGGCAGGCGGGAAGAAAGGACCGCCGGACACCTTTTGGGGGGGAGGGCTCCCCCCCCCCCCGATGCTCAGCGAGCCCAGGGAAAAAGGGGCTCCCTCGAGGCAGAGGTGTGAGACCGGCCTCTCCTCCGACTCCCCACTTCCAGTTCCCCCCTGGAGGAAGAAGGGAAGAAAAAAGAAAACCCCAGCATATCCTCCCACGCAAAAAAGACTTCATTCAGTATACGTGACCGATTTCGTTCCTTGGAGATATAATTCCCCGTTTTCTTCCCCCTCCCTTTTCTTTAAGGAAAATAATTTTGCCCCAAAAAGGAAAAAAAAAAAAATATTCCTCCCAAGGAGAGGCGGGGCAGGAAGAAAAGAAAAAAAAAAGGAGGGGGGGACACAAAAAAAAAACAACAACCCACGAACTATCCACCGCCGGGGTTCAAGGGGCCGTCTGCAGCATCAAGTTCCTCAGGAGTTTCTGGCGGCCCACCTCGTAATCCTCTTCATCCACATTGACCAGGAGTTTGATGGCCTCGTGGCCCACGGCCTGCTTGAGCGAGTCTGTGATGAAGACGCCCTTCAGCGCCTCCAGCAAGGAGCCGTTGATGTAGTCGCGCCAGAAGGCGTCCAGGTACGTCAGCTCCGAGAACTTGATGTCGCAGATGATGGAGCCCAGGTCCCGCGACTTCAGGATCGTGTTGGCCTGGCTGAAACGTTCAAACTGGCGCTCCAGGGGGTCCTGCTTGTTGGAGAAGACGTTGCCCTCCAGGGCCGTCTCGTGCTGGCAGTATTCGGCCCGGACTCGGAGGCGGATATCTGCAGGTGGGGGGGTGGGGGGTGGGGGGTGGAGAGAGACACAGGCGGGGAGCGTTATGAGGCAACTAACTGGGCTGGGAGGAACAGAGCAAAGCCCGCTAAAAATCTCAGGCGAGGAATTAGGGCGGGGCCATTTCAAATCCAGCACGAAGACTCTGGGATTCTGCTGGGAAGGCCTGTGGTTTCTCTCAAAACATTTTATTTTGCTTTCAGAATCGTGGGAGGGACTACAGATTCCCACAATGGAAGAATGGAGGGTGAAGTTCGTGGAATTAGAAGAGCTGACAATTTAATTTATTTGTTTGATTGCTATGGCCACCCTTTCTGAGCAAATGATAATTTCTTTAATTTGGATGGAGAAAAAAAAAAAAGACTTTCTCTAGCTTTGTTCTTACTTGGAAAACCCCTTTTTGGATTGAAACAGAAAGAAACAAAAACTTTTGAATTTCATTTTTAATGGTTTGCGATTGCAGAAATACTGCGTACTGTCGTTCCCCTTAAGGCAGGGGTGTCCAACCTTGGCAACTTGAAGACTTGTGGACTTCAACTCCCAGAATTCCTCAGCCAGCAAAGCAGGAGTCTCCAACCGTGGCCATTTTAAGACTTGTGGACTTCAACTCCCAGAATTCCTCAGCCAGCAAAGCAGGGGTCTCCAACCGTGGCCATTTTAAGACTTGTGGACTTCAACTCCCAGAGTTCCTCAGCCAGCTGGCTG